TTTTTTTTTTTTTTTTTTTTTTTTTTTTTTTTTTTTTTTTTTTTCAGTTGTTTGACACGCTGTTGAACCGTTTTTATATATAGTCTTGTGTTGATCTTGCCAGGTGAAACATCCAATACCAGAACAAACTTTCGATTTTTGTTATGACTAGTTGTAAAAATTATTGATTTGGATTTATTACGATGAAAAGTATTTAAAAAATTATAAGTCTTTTGACTCTAAAGAATAATGAGATCTAATTTTATTTTTACACGTGCCATGGTATATCCAATATGAATTTTTTTTCTTGTTTTGGGACAAAGTTTTATGGTTAACCAAAAAATATATATATATAAACAAACAAACGTATACGTATCTATCGAGTGCGTGTCGCTTGGAATTTAAGAAAGCACGACGATGATGCCGGACACGCGCGTTCCACAGTGTTTCGCAACAAATCTGAATGTCTCAACGGCTATCGTCCAGAAAATATTAAAAGTTGCGTCGCTCGGGTCATCCATGTGAGACATCTTGTAACTCGAAATCATTTAAATGAGTATACGTATAGGTACTCAAGCGCACCGATAAATATGATGAAACGATGAAACTCATTCTTTAGCCCCCAGCTAAAAATATAATCGTGTCCCTAAAAATGTTTCCAGCCAAGGTGGGAGCTTGTAATATTTTATAAAATGGGTGTACACCTCAACTCATATTCGATTCATGCGAATCTAGTTGTTCTGTAATCAGATTTTATTTGACGGGCAAATTTAATAGGTACATGTATACCGCAATCGCAGTTACAAATAAGGGCATGCAGCGAATGCGGCCGAGTATAATTTTTCATGGCTTGGAACAATTCAGCCCTTTGGTTTTTGTCAAATGAAGGTGGTAAACCCGTAAGATCGCTGACTTTTTAACTAATTATAATTGGTGATGATATATGGAATGCCACGATTAAATCCTTGCTACTGCTGCTTACGATGTGTTTGCATTCTAAAAAAATGTGTACAGTATTATGTTTTAAACTTTCTTGTTTAAACTAATTAAATTAAACAGTTTGAACTGAACAATTGGCTCAATATGTACATGTATCAACGTTTATCAAAGTATATTTAAGCCTTTTTTTTTACATAAAAATGTCTATGCTTTTTAGTTGTATTTTTCTACTGCATATCGTTCAATTTTTTTTTTTTTTTTTTTTCCATACTTGAAGAATTGTTTCCTCAAAAACTATTTCCCCTAGACAAAAACATGTTTACTGTCACAAAAATGACATTTTTTGAATTTTGCACATTTGAACAAAACACATGTTTGACCAGTAGCATGCACTTTGACGCATACATATAGTATTCTTTCGATACTCCTATACGTGCCAATATATCTCTCATTGTTCACAAGAGATTTACACAACATTTAGCTGTACGCTCGCTTGTTTTAAAGAAGTATTTTCTCATGACAACTGATTCTTGTAACTGCAATTGTTACGAAGAAGTACTGGTCATATTACGTTTATTGGATTCTTACCACACGGAAGTAATTGTGAAACATAGAGTACCTAAAGATGTACATACAGATCGAAACATATGATTAAATGGGGTTTCCCTCCTTTTTTTGCCTCGTTCTCGTTGTGCTTTTTAAAATGTTAATATTAAAAAACGTTGGAAAATTTCAAATGTTCCACTACGCTCTACTGAATTATTTTGAATTATTCAAACTTAATCATCTACTGAATTACCAAATTAGTTTATGAAAAGCCATGCAAATAACAGCGAAGCGAATTAATGTGTTTTTCAACGAAACGTAAACAGTCGACGCGTTTTGGCCACCAAAAGAGGCACAGGTCTGTTGTGTAACATGGTTTACATTTACACGTATACATATAAGTATAAGTACGCATACTAAGGTAAAGGACCCAATACCTACTCGACCAGGCACCAATAAGCTCCGTGCACAAAGATACCAGCGCCAACTTGTGTCTGGATGGTGAGTTCGCGTGGTTACGAGAATACACGGAGTAGTATGGTTACCTAAAGTCAATAATTTTTTTCATTAATATCAAGATCCTTTCTTATAGTCCGGTTATCTCAATTATAATCTCCAACTCCTCAATTTTACGATGATATTTTTTTCAGCATGAGATTTTGCTTTAATAAGTTGTAAAAAAGATTTATATCCCTTTGTCGCTTGTACGTGTGAGCTACATTGCACGTGTCAGTAAAGTATGTAAGAGAGATAGAGTATACTTAGTACTACCAACATAATTAATAAGTTTTTCTAGAAAATTACGTAATGACATTGACATTATTTATGCTTTCAATTACACTACAAATATGCTAAGCAAACCAGCAAAATGGCAAAAAATGTACG